GGAAACTCTCCTGGTGATCCACAGGGCCTTGGGGCATCTCTCGGAACATCTGCAGCCACCTCGGGCAAAATCCTCTCGCCGCTGAATGGAAAATTCCCCGTGACCTCCAAATGGCCACAATTCCGTCTGGGAGATGGAACAAGAGGAGAGAAGGGCTGAGAATTTCTCTCCAGGGATTGATCCAGCTGGGTCTCACAGGTGACAGCTCTCCCAAGGTGGACACAAAGCAGCAAAGGTGGTGCCCACCTGGAGGTGCTTTGGGTGTCCCCGTCCCTCTGGACAATTTGGGAACAGACTCATGGAGGTGGTGGCCGGGACCGAGTCCTTGACGAGGCCTGGGGTTTGAGGAATATTTTGTAAAAAATGCTGAAATAACACCATAGTATCATGGAATGACAGAAAGCCCTGAGCTGGACAAGGACCTTGGAGGTCTTTTTCAGCCTAAACGATTCTGTGAGCCTGTGATTGGCACCTCCAATGCTTCCCACAGCTGATGCCAGGTCTGCTTCCCTTGACCAAAGAACCTGCAGCTTCTCCCTTCCCCCCTGGAGGAACCAGACCACTGCCTTGCAATTTGTCACGACCACAGAGGTGGGCTCCTGGATGGGGAATGTTTAAATCAAGCGGCAATTAATGCATTGTGAAGCACTTGAGGTAATTGCGTAATGAGCGCCGCATTACCTGGAGTAGGAACGCGTTCCCAACGAGCCCAGCAGGGAAACAATGTGGCCTTTGCCGGGGGATTTTTGGGGGTGAAGCTCTGCTGTGCCACAGATTTTCCTGCACAAATCCCAGCTTTGTGAGGTGTCCAACCAGGCTGAAGTTGCTCCATCTGGCTGGACTTTATTTGGTACTTCAGAGCAGGTCCCAGAGAGATCAGCTCGGCCTGAGGGGCTTGGAGAAAGGCTGGGGGTCCTGCAGGGACAGGGGACATCACAGGGCTGATCCCATTTTCCCATCCCAGCTGCTGATCCCATTTTCCCCTTCAGCCCGCACTCCCGGAGTTATTCAATTCCTGCCTCTGCACAAATAAAAATCAATAAAAAGCATTTATTATAAAGCACCAGATTCAAATAACTGGCAGAGCGAGGATGCACGCTTCACACAAAATGCGATTTATGCTCTGCAGAGGGGAAAACACCCAGCAAGCAGAAAAGGAACTTTGATTGTCTCGCCAGTGAATCGCTGTCCTGCTTTAGCCACACTTAACGGGCGGGAAAATGTTATTTAATAACATTCATTTAGTGGTTTATTATAGGAGCGAGGTAAATCAGGAGCATTTCTCCTGCTGGCAGGGATTTTCTTCAGCTGCCTCACTTTCCAAGGCTTCGCTCATCTCCCAAGGCAGGACTGGAATTCCTGAGATCTGGTTCCACCTGATTTGTTCCAAGCCAGCCCCTTTTAGGGCTGTAAAAATGCCTTGGCTCCTCCCGGCCGCTGCTGCCACCTCCTCTCAGGCTCCTCCAACATTTATGAGCCCTCATGAATATGCAAATGAGCGCTAATGGCTGCGGAGTGGCGCTGAGCGTTAATATTTCATAGGAGGATGGTTTGTCCCGTCAATTTGGGACAAACACGGCCCTTCATGAATTAATCATCCACTCAAACATGGCGGCGTTCGGATTTGGCGTTTCCCGGGAAAAATGGGAGTTTGGGAAGAGGTTTGGAAGTTTCTGGGCTGGATGAGGAGCGTGGGAGATGGATCAGAGCTCTGGATGGACACTCAGCCTTGTTCCCAAGGACTGAGTCTGGAACACCAAGGGGCTCCTACTGGAAACTCCAGAAATCCTGAATTATTCATCCACTCAAACATGGCAGAGTTTGGATTTGGCATTTCCCGGGAAAAATGGGAGTTTGGGAAGAGGTTTGATAGGTTCTGGGATGGATCAGAGCTCTGGATGGACACGATTTCTGTGTCTGGAACACCAAGAAGCTTCTGCTGGAAACTCCCGAGAACCTGAATTAATCATCCAACCAAACATGGCAGTGCTTGGATTTGGCGTTTCCCAGGAAAAATGGGAGTTTGGGAAGAGGTTTGGAATTTTCTGGGATGGATGAGGAGGGTGGGAGATGGATCAGAGTTCTGGATGGACATAATTTCTGTGTCTGGAACACCAAGAAGCTTCTGCTGGAAACTCCCGAGAACCTGAATTAATCATCCAACCAAACATGGCAGCGCTTGGATTTGGCGTTTCCCAGGAAAAATTGCTGGATAAAATGTAAACACGGATTGGAAAAAAAAGGCTTTTGGAAACCTAAGTTTAACAACAATTTAAACTGCCTTAAATATTTATGTGGCTGGTCTCAGCACGGCTTGTAATTAGAGGAGATTATTTCTCTTTTTGTGCATTTTGAGGCTGTGCTGCCACCGGGTTCTGACACTTCCATCTCGGCAGAGTTAAAAAATGAAATAAAACCAGGATAATTTCCTTTTTTTCCCACCTTAATAGAAAGATAAAGCAGCGCCATCATCGCTGCGTTTGCCGCTACGATCTCAGGGTTTCGAGATGTTGATAATCTCCTTTTGATGCTAATTAATTACAAGTAATCATAAAAACAAATGAAAAGCACTATAGCTGCAGCAGGATTTTTTTTTTATGCTTATGAAATAATGCATCTTTATGCATTTGTTTATTTGCCATGGCAAAAAATGTAATCTATATTCATGGGCAAACAGCTTCAGCACGTGGCGCTCCCAGCTCCAGCTGCTTTTCCCTTTTCCCAGAGGCAAATCCCAAATTCCAGCCCTCCGAGGGATTTTGGTGCTCGACTCTTGTTTGTCCACAGGCTTGGGAATAGGGATTGAAAAGGAAATGCCATTTGTCTGTAGTTAAATATCCACCCGGAATGACTCCGGATCGATTCCAGGAGTGATCAGGGAGTCAGGGCTGAAACCCAAAGTTCTGTTGCCATCCTTGAAAAGGAATTTTTGGGAGGAAGGGCCTCATTTCCCACCTGGAATTCTGGAATGGCCTCCTGAGTGATGAAGAAATGATTTTTGGGGACGAGGCCGAGCCAGGCTCGGGGTGGCTGCAGCTGCTCCTTGGGATCCTCGGGGATGTGTGGGGAGGAAGGAGCAGAGCCAGGTGGGAGAAGTTCCTGCAGCCAAAACTGGGGCTGAGTCACTCCCGGCTCATGCTGGGGACTCTGGGTATTGACCTAACTGCTGGAAGTGGCCCCGAATTCCTTGGCAGCTCCCAGGGGTGACAAACAGAAGCTTTTGTGGGATCAGAAGTGAAAATGACTGAAACAAGGCCATGGAGCTTTGAAGGAAATCTTTTCCTTGTGATTTCCCACGGAGCTGAGTTTGTCCTGGCGGGAAAGCAGGACACCCGGGGCCGTGCCGTGCCCATCCCGTGCCCATCCCGTGCCCATCCCGTGCCCATCCCGTGCCCATCCCGTGCCCATCCCGTGCCCATCCCGTGCCAGGTCTGGAGCTGCTGCTTTGGGACGGCCGCATTTGCATATTGTATGCTAATGAGCAGGGGCAGGGGTGGAGATAGGGATCTGCTGCAAGAGCAGAGGTGCTAAAGCTCCCCAGCACGTTTTTTGTTAATCAAATGACACGGAATTAACGCGGCTACGGTAATTGCCTTGTTAGATGGAAATGAAGCCCTGCTCAGACACGGAATGTGGAGTGTGACTCACTGTTCCAGGCACATTTAGATTGTTGTCAGTACAATTAGGATTTGGAATTTACAAGTAGAGGGGTGGGGGGGGAGTTTATTTTATTTAATCAATCGCTATAGCAACGGTAAAATTCATGTTCCCTCTTCCATGTCCAGGACTGGTTCTTCTGGCTGGGGGAAGAGCAAACTTCAGAACTTTGGAGAAAAGCAGCTTTTTCTGCTTACCCTGGTGTTTCCTCAGTCCATGGGGGATTCCAGGCCTGTCCAGTGAATCCTCAACTTCCCACGAGGTGGCCACCTCAGAACTTCTCTCTCGAGTTTCCTGGGAATGAGGGATCCTCCTGTGGAAAGAGAAAAGCTCTTCTGAACTATTCACAAGAGAAATGAGTGACAGCAAACCTGCCAGTCCCAGCTGGAGAGGGAGCTGTGGAGTCCAGGAGAACACAAACCCCTGCAAACCCCAGTTGAGGTGAACATCAGAACTGCTTCTGCTGTTCCTGAGTCCAGGAGAACAAAAACCCCTGCAAACCCCAGTTCAGGTGAACATCAGAACTGCTTCTCCTGTTCCTAGGGATCCTGCTTCCCTCTCTGGGTCCTGGTTGGGTGGAGTGACATTTCCTGGGTGTCCCCAAAGCCTCTCCAAAGGGACACTTTGCTCCACTGCAAGGGAGAAGATCCCTGGAATTTCAAGCACACTCCAAACCCCACCTCAGAAATCCTGAAATATTAACCAGGAGAGAGAGAGAGAGTCCCGGTCTTGCACGTCAGCCTCGACAGATGGAATAAAAAAAATGGGCAAATGTATTTAACATTCCTGCTCGTTCCTTAAAAATAATTATCTGATTAAATGCGCCAAATGAGATTTTCATTTTTCCGTCCCTGTCGTCCTGGTACGAGTGCAGCGCTGTTGGCAGCTCTGACAGGAATCCTAAAAGGAGAGGCCAGGCAGGAACTTTGGGGCTGGCACGGGGGATTTAGGGCTGCCCAGGCTCGGTCGTGGACAACGGGGCTTTGTAATTAACAACAACATGTAAATGACACCTTGGCATCCCGTGCCAGGTCTGGAGCTGCTGCTTTGGGACGGCCGCATTTGCATATTGTATGCTAATGAGCAGGGGCAGGGGTGGAGATAGGGATCTGCTGCAAGAGCAGAGGTGCTAAAGCTCCCCAGCACGTTTTTTGTTAATCAAATGACACGGAATTAACGCGGCTACGGTAATTGCCTTGTTAGATGGAAATGAAGCCCTGCTCAGACACGGAATGTGGAGTGTGACTCACTGTTCCAGGCACATTTAGATTGTTGTCAGTACAATTAGGATTTGGAATTTACAAGTGGAGGGGTGGGGGGGGGAGTTTATTTTATTTAATCAATCGCTATAGCAACGGTAAAATTCATGTTCCCTCTTCCATGTCCAGGACTGGTTCTTCTGGCTGGGGGAAGAGCAAACTTCAGAACTTTGGAGAAAAGCAGCTTTTTCTGCTTACCCTGGTGTTTCCTCAGTCCATGGGGGATTCCAGGCCTGTCCAGTGAATCCTCAACTTCCCACGAGGTGGCCACCTCAGAACTTCTCTCTCGAGTTTCCTGGGAATGAGGGATCCTCCTGTGGAAAGAGAAAAGCTCTTCTGAACTATTCACAAGAGAAATGAGTGACAGCAAACCTGCCAGTCCCAGCTGGAGAGGGAGCTGTGGAGTCCAGGAGAACACAAACCCCTGCAAACCCCAGTTGAGGTGAACATCAGAACTGCTTCTGCTGTTCCTGAGTCCAGGAGAACAAAAACCCCTGCAAACCCCAGTTCAGGTGAACATCAGAACTGCTTCTCCTGTTCCTAGGGATCCTGCTTCCCTCTCTGGGTCCTGGTTGGGTGGAGTGACATTTCCTGGGTGTCCCCAAAGCCTCTCCAAAGGGACACTTTGCTCCACTGCAAGGGAGAAGATCCCTGGAATTTCAAGCACACTCCAAACCCCACCTCAGAAATCCTGAAATATTAACCAGGAGAGAGAGAGAGAGTCCCGGTCTTGCACGTCAGCCTCGACAGATGGAATAAAAAAAATGGGCAAATGTATTTAACATTCCTGCTCGTTCCTTAAAAATAATTATCTGATTAAATGCGCCAAATGAGATTTTCATTTTTCCGTCCCTGTCGTCCTGGTACGAGTGCAGCGCTGTTGGCAGCTCTGACAGGAATCCTAAAAGGAGAGGCCAGGCAGGAACTTTGGGGCTGGCACGGGGGATTTAGGGCTGCCCAGGCTCGGTCGTGGACAACGGGGCTTTGTAATTAACAACAACATGTAAATGACACCTTGGCAGGGGGCTGGAACCCGCTGGGAGTCTCAGGATCTGCAAGGGAAAAGGTGCTGGGATTCTCAGGATCTCCAGGCTGGAAACCTGCTGGGATTCTCAGGACCTGCAAGGGAAAAGGTGCTGGGATTCTCAGGATCTCCAGGCTGGAAACCTGCTGGGATTCTCAGGACCTCCAGCCTGGAACCCCACTGGGATTCTCAGGACCTCCAGCCTGGAAACCTGCTGGGATTCTCAGGATCTCCAGGCTGGAAACCTGCTGGGATTCTCAGGATTTCCATCCAGGAGTCTTTGTGGGATTCTCAGGATCTCCAGCCTGGAAACCTGATGGGATTCCCAGGATTTCCAGCCTGGAAACCCACTGGGATTCTCAGCATCTCCATCCAGGAGACTTTGTGGGATTCTCAGGATCTCCAGCCTGGAAACCTGCTGGGATTCTCAGGATCTGCAGCCTGGAATCCTGCTGGGATTCTCAGGATCTGCAGCCTGGAAACCTGCTGGGATTCTCAGGACCTCCAGCCTGGAAACCTGCTGGGATTCTCAGGATCTCCAGCCTGGAATCCTGCTGGGATTCTCAGCATTTCCATCTAGGAGTCTTTGTGGGATTCCCAGGATCTCCAGCCTGGAAACCTGCTGGGATTCTCAGGATCTCCCTCCACAAACACCTGTCTGGAGGTTTTCAAACTCCTGCCGTGTTAGAATAAGGCCCGGCATTAATTGCAGGGCTATGATTTCCAAAAGGACAGAACTCCCGGGATATTTACGGCCCCATTTAGCACCTTGCTTTGCCTTAAAGAGGTGGGGATTTACACACCTTAAGTGCTCCTACAAATCTCCTTTACCCTTTCCCGGAAAAGGGCAACACAATAATAATTGTTAAATTGATGTGTTAACACGTCTGTACCATAGAGCTCCTCACGCTTCCCTGCCTCCACTTTGTCTTCCTGAATTCCTGACTGTCCCAGCATCCAGCTCCGGAAGTTTGGGAAGTGCCTGCAGCTGGAAATGTGCTTTCATTCCAGAATGTTCTCCTTTGGAATCCCAGGAACTGAGGTTGCCTCGAGCTCGGGGCAGTGAAATCCCTCCAGGAGTGGCGATTCCTTTTCCAAGGAGAATTCCCCCTAAAATCCCACCTGGAATCCTTGGGAATCCCAGGAACTGAGGTTGCCTCGAGCTCGGGGCAGTGAAATCCCTCCAGGAGTGGCGATTCCTTTTCCAAGGAGATTTTCCCCCTAAAATCCCACCTCGAATGGCGATTCCTTTTCCAAGGAGAATTTCCCCCTAAAATCCCACCTGGAATCCTTTGGAATCACAGAACTGAGGTTGCCTCGAGCTCGGGGCAGTGAAATCCCTCCAGGAGTGGCGATTCCTTTTCCAAGGAGAATTCCCCCTAAAATCCCACCTGGAATCCTTGGGAATCCCAGGAACTGAGCTTGCCTCGAGCATGGGGCACTGAAATCCCTCCAGGAGTGGCGATTCCTTTTCCAAGGAGAATTCCCACTAAAATCCCACCTGGAGATGCAGCAAGACCATTCCCAGCTGAGGGACTCCCCAGGCACTTGGAGTTGATCCAAGCCCAGTCCCAGGCTCTGCTCTCCTCCCTCTCCTGTTTATCTCCAATCTATTTAGCCTCTCCCTAAACAAGATAGGAATATCTCGGGTGCCTGTTTGTAAGACTTTTCTGCATCCATCTGTTATTTACATCATTCCTTTTCCTGAGGTGTCTCCAACAAATCCTGGCTGCACGCTCTGGATGTGTTATTAAGAAAACAGCTGTAAAAATATTAACTGTGCTGCTTAATTGTCAGCCCTGACCTAGAGCCAAATCCAGCCCAGGATGGATGCTGGGCCCTGGAATGTGGCTGCTCTCCAGAGCTCCTTCTGCTCTCCCACTGCAGCCCTGCAAGGTCACCCCTTCCATGGTCCCAGCGTTCTCCAAGCCCGGCCTTGGAGATCCAGGGGTGCCCCAGCCAGGTTTGCTCTGAAAAGTTGAATTTTTGGGATCTGTGGCTGTCCAAGCTGCTGAAGGGAAAGGGAAATTGGGCTGGATCCAGGAGCCATGGCTGTGCGTTACCCTGAGCTGTGCTCTCCTGGGAGCTGGAGGCTGAGGATGAGTGTTTGTGGCATTTTTGATGTTTCCATGGGGATTGCTATAGAAACAACTCCGCTACCCCTTCATTTATTAATTTACTTTGTTAGGGAACCAAAGGTAAACCACATCTCCAAAGAAACAATGGCTTGAAAGAGATTTCGCCTGCTCCATCCTCGTTTTTTTTCCAGCGCGAGGCCTTGAGTTTGTGTTTAAAGGACAACATTTGCAGCTAATTTAATCCAGTCAAAGGCACAAGATTCCACAAGGTTTCCTTTGAGACTGGAAAACAACAGCTGATCTGTGTCATAACACATTACAGGCAGCTCTGCTTCACTGTTCAGTGCTCCTGATGTGGAGAATCCTCGGCACCGAGCTCGGCTGAGGGCACGGAGAGCTCTGGGCCTTGGGCAGGGCCACCAGCTCTGGGCCAGCTCCTTGTCCTGGGCAGGGACACCAGCTCCTTGTCCTGGGCAGGGACACCAGCTCTGGGCCAGCTCCTTGTCCTGGGCAGGGCCACCAGCTCTGGGCCAGCTCCATCTCCTGGGCAGGGCCACCAACACTGGGCCAGCCCCAAGCCCTGCTGGCCTCTCTGGGGAAAGGGACACAAAGGAAAGGCAGAGTGTGGAAGGGTTTCGATGCCAAGGTGCCAACGTTCCACCACGTTCCCCTGGTGAAGATGGGATTGATGGGAACTGCACTTCCCGTGCTCCTAGAACATCCTGGTGTGTTTAGGGCAGTCCTGGAGGTTCCTGGGAGAGCACAGCTCAGTTATTTCCCCTCACGTCCAGGAGATGTGAGATCATCCAAGGATTCCAGATGATGCATGGAGGGTTTATGGAAGATGTCACCCTGTAACCAGGGGGCCGTGAAGGGCAAGAGCAGGAGCTGCTCCAGGCCCCAGAGGCTCCTCAGATCCCTTCATTTTTATGGTGGGAATGTAAGAGCATCAGCAAGGCCAGGCTGACATTTGAGAGGGGTTTAAACCCCACTCTGGGCTCCAGCTCCTGCCCAAGGTCTCAGCTCTTGGTGCTTGTTGTGTCTCTGCAGCTCAGCTTGTTTTCCTCCTGTTCTTTTTGTAATCTAAGAGTTTCATCGATGTGCTTTTTTACTAAAAGAGATGTTTTCCTTCCAAATCCAGTTAGGATGAGTAGCTGGAATGACATCGCATTGTTATTTTTAATATTTGAAATGTAGCTTCGATTGCAGGCCTGGTGCTGCTCCATGGAACAACAGCCTGGGATCATTTCTCTGGTTTGGAGGAGAAATGTCAGGAGGAAAAACATGTTCCAGAAAGGATTGATTTGATCTTTAAATCAAATTCTATCAGCACCTCATTTGGAGAGAGGATTCTTTGGAAATGGAGGGAAAGGTTCCTGCCTGAAATCCAAGTGTCCTGGTGCAGAAACCCACCAGAGTCTGAGCCTCATCCAGCAGTGAAAGGATTTATCCTGGAACGACTTGTCTGGAGAAAGGATCTGCAGCTCCTGCAGATCAACTGACATTTCCTGCCCTACTTAAAACTGGGGCAGATTTCCAAAACCGTTTGGGTATTAAAAGACGCGGGCTCCCGGCAGTGACACCTGTGACAACGAGCGGTTTATTTCCGAGCGTGTTCTCAGGTGCCTGCTGAGAAAAGGCACTTCCCAAGGTGAGATCCCACGTCCTCCGAGGTATTTTGGGACCCCTGAAGCCAAGAGCTTGGCCAGGGCTCTTTGAGTCACTGGGGAATTAGGGAATGCTTGAGGCTGGAAGGGGTTTTAGGGATCAGCTCGTTCCACCAGGCTGCTCCAAGCTCCAATGTCCAACCTGGCTCTGGTCACCCTGTGCCACCCTCCCAGTATCCCATCTGAGCCTCCCCTTTTCATTGCAGGTCTCCTCTGCCATGGGGTCACAGGATTCCACACCTGGTCTCCCGAAGAACTCCCTCCTCTCTCCGTGCTCGTTTTCCATTCGCCTTTGGACAAACTCTTGCCCCACTGAAGATTCCTGAAAAGTGCTCACTTCCCAACCCCACTGATCTCATTTATGGTTTGAGAGGCCGAGGTAACGAGGGATTTCCAACTCCCCAGTGCCCATTTCATGGTGGTGGTGAAGCCACCGTGATGGCGCGTGCGTCTCCTCGCGGGAGCAGGGCAGCAGCAGCAGGTGCTGGCCCCGCTGTCCCGTTTGGGGACACAGCTCGCCGTGTCCCCGCTGTGGCTGCCATGGCAGCAGCTCCAGTCAGCCGGAGCCTCCAGCTGCGGCGCGGCGAGCGCACAGGATGCCGCGTCACACATGAGTGACTCCCGGGCAGCCCGAGTGACAGATGCATTTCCTCGACTCCAGGCCAGGCTCCAGCACAAACCACTCTTCATTTATCAATAATTGGGCCTTAATTTCATTTGGCAGTGCTGGAGCAGCATGCTCAGCTTCCTCTCCAATAGACTCCCGCTAATTAGGCTGGCTTTGGGCATCAATCTCTTGATTGGAGCCTCTAATAATCAGCCCAGCTCCTGCTTTTTGCACAGGACGTGGTGGCTTTATCCATAAGTCATTATTAGCCATAATGGAATGGGAATGGGAACAGTTCCGTTATTGATGGCTCCGAGAGGCAGGAGCAGGGATCCCACTCTGCCTGCTCCCGTGGAATCGACATGGAATCGACATGGAATGAATGCGGAATCAACATGGAATGAACTCGGAATCAACGCAGAATCAACGCGGAATCGACGTGGAATCAATGCGGAATGAACGCGGAATGAACACGGAATCGACACGGAATCAACGCGGAATCAACGCCTTCATTCCTCTGGCACCCCTCTACAAGAAGAAATGTGTTCCACGAGTCCTCAGGCATCAAAAAGGGCATTTTTGGTCCTTCACCCAAAAATTTATCAAGGAGATAAATTTATCTATTATTTATCAAGGAGATTTTGGGGAAGGGTTCAAACAGGTTCAGGTTGGCTGGAGAGGAACTCCCCATCCTTGGAAATGTCCCAGGCCAGGGTCTGGAACAACCGGGGACAAGGGAAGGTGTCCCTGCCTGTGGGATGAACTTTAAGGTCCCTCCCATCCCAAACCATTCCCAGGTTCCTTCATTTCCCACGATGGCGCGGTGGCAAATCCAGCAGGGATCGACGTAATGTCCCTTTTCCCTCTGTCCAGGACAGGTGACAGCCTGTCACCGTTCAGCCCCAGTTTCCTGGCACGGCCCAGCTCAGCTCCTCAGGGCTGATTGCTGTGCCCAGATGAGTTTGCTGCACAATCCAAATTGAAGAGCACGAGGAATAAAATCCCTCCTCGTTTCAGCCCAGTAACTCCACCGAATTCAGCGCTCCAGATGGTCCCGCACGCGCCGGGTAATGTGTGGATTGTGCCAGAATAAATGAAATCTCCCATGTCGTGGTGGCTGGTTATTATTAAAGATCTGTCCCAGCAATTCATTGGGATTGGAAGGGATTGCAGCTCCTGGAAAAATGATGGATGGTGCTGCTGTGCAGCTCGGAGAGGGATGGAGAAGCTGGCTGAGCTGTGTGTTCCCTCCACTTCTGGAAAAGTCCAAGCTCCCCCTTCAAACCCGCTGATTTCCAGAGGAAAGCAGCTGGATTTCAAACGAGCTGGGAGACAACTCCTTCTGGTGTCCCTGGCTGTGCCCCTGCCACTTAAAAAAGATTTGTTCTGAGGTTTTCACCTGCCCCGGGCCTTTAACATTTCTTTTGGCCTATAAACAAATTTTATCGTTTTATCCGAGTCAGGAAAATTGCTGCATCCATCTTGGAATGTGGAGCATTTTTCCCATGAAAAACAAGTAGCTGATTAAGAAAATCAGGCTTTAAAGACACTGTTGTGGAGGAGAAAGTTGCTAAGCTTGCTTTCATTGACTTGTTTGCTCACGTGCAACTTCTTGCCCTAAACTGGGAGATGTGGGCTGCAGAGGGAAGGAGGATTGTTCTTTGTGCTGCAAAATGGTCACCTCCCAGCCCCACTGATGTCATTTATGGGATCTGTGCCTTGAGAGGCTGCATTTCAACCACCCCACTGCCCATTTTTCTGGTGACGGCTCCGTGCTGTTCCCAGCTGGAAAGATCCCAGGATTTCCTGGGGTGCAGGACCCACCTGGATGAGGTGGACACCCCAAATGCCACCTGTGCCTGCTGTCCAAGCACAGCCCCGCGAGCTGAGCCCATCCTGCCCAGCTCTGGGCCTGATGGGAAAGGGTTTGGGGATGGGATGGGCTGGATCCCAAACCCCAAAAGGGTTTTTCCAGGTTCTGGAGGATCCCATCCCAGCTGGGAGCGCGGAGCAGCAGGGCCAGGCTTGGAGCACATCCCAGAGCCCCCACGGATGGATCCCTTCCTCATTCCCAGACTTTTCTGGGCGGTTACCATGGCGATGCCTTGCCTCAATAGGGTCCTTGTGAACTTGTTTACCATCCCAATTAGAACATTTTCCAATCCCGGCTCCCATCTGGGCCTGATGCCATCAATCCACAACAACGGCAGCTCCCCCACGCCCGGCCCCGAGGCCGGCAGCCCGATTGCCCAGCTCCCAGTAAAAAATGGGAACTGGGGAGCAACTTTTCCAGGATGGAGGGGGCCGAGCGTGATTTGGGTGGAGCCTTTTCCCCTCTGCTCCATCCAGGAGCTGAGTGTGGACACTGAGGTGTGTCCTGAGAATTCCCTAGAGAAAAACCTGTTATTTTAGCAGGAAAAAGTAGAAACCAGAGGATTTCACACACCTGCCACCGGAGAGGATCCCTTAATCCTGCAGGAAGGCACTGACGTCCACAGCCAAATCATTTCAGGCTGGAGATAAAGTTCCAACTGGGATGAGAGTGCAGCCCCTGGAAGCTCCAAGTCCCCAAATGAAGACCTTCTGGAAGTTTCCTCTGGCAGGGCTGTGCCGGGTGCAGCTTTTCTGGGGCGGAGATGAAGTTCAAGCTGATAAAGGTCCCGTTGTGTCTGGAGCTGGAAAAGAAAAACGCACTTAAAAAAAAATAAAATAAAACAAAAAAAGGAAATCGGTGCGTGCCAAGGCGTGACTCAACCCCAAGAGGCGCAGATTCCTCCCAGCAGCTCGGGAGTTTTCCAAATCACTGCGAGTTCTCAATGGATCCATTGTGAGCTTCTGGAAGAGCTTTGTGGGCACGGGGCTGGGCTGGATCAGCCAGAAAATGTGGGGAGTTTCGTGCTGGCCTGCAGAACCCAACGGGCTTTGGCAGCAAAGAGGGGATGGGAACGGTGCAGATGGCCTTGAGGAGCTCCTGAGACAGCAACAAAGAGCAAAACAAACAAAACACAGCAGGAATTCACAAAGGAAACGTTGGGATGCTCCCCAAGGATCGCTGCGTGGTTTTGGGATGAGGATCTCAGAAACCCAGAGTGGTTTCAGCTGGACCATCCTGTCCCCAGCCCAGAGTGCCACCTCCTGGGCACTCCCTGGGCGGCCGTGGGGACATCTTTTCCATCTTTTATGATGGATGTTCCCCTCCCCACCGGCCTGGAGTGCAGGAGATCTGACACTTGCCCCACAGCACCATTTCTCTCTTTTCTCCTCATCTCATTTTCATCCCGATTCCAATTTGCAATCCTGGAACATCAACCAAGAGAGAATTTTGCTTGTGAGCAGCAAGGGAACCTGCTGAGCATGGAAAGGGCCCAGCAGCAGCTCTGGAGCTCCAGATCTCCATCCCCATCCCCATCTGCCTCTCCATGCTCCCCTCTGTCCGTTTGTGACACTCCTGAAATGGTGGCTCGGGGGTTTTGGGTGATTCCAGGTCCTCATTCCAGCAGTGCCTGCTTCCAGAGGAGCTTCTCCTTCCTGTGGAGCTTCTTCTTCCAGAGGAGCTTCTCCTTCCTGTGGAACTTCTCCTTCCTGTGGAGCTTTTCCTTAGATGGGAGCTTCTCCTTCCAGGAAAACTTCTCCTTCCCGTGGAGCTTCTCCTTCCAGAGGAGCTTCTCCTTCCTATGGAACTTCTCCTTCCTGTGGAGCTTTTCCTTAGATGGGAGCTTCTCCTTCCAGGAAAACTTCTCCTTCCAGAGGAGCTTCTCCTTCCAGAGGAACTTCTCCTTCCAGAGGAACTTCTTCCAGGAGAGCTTCTCCTTCCAGAGGAACTTCTTCTTCCTATGGAACTTCTCCTTCCTGTGGAGCTTCTCCTTCCTGTGGAACTTCTCCTCATCCATGCATCCATCCATCATCCATCCATGGATCCATGGATCCATCCATCCATGCGGTGGGCACGAGGAGAGCAGGAGGTTCCTGGCTCCGAGGGGCTCTGGGCACTCTCAGCTCCTGGAAAAGCCGGGCACTTCCCACTTGGCACATCTTGTGTTTGCCTGCCTCGGGCTCGCCGGGCCGCTTCTCTTCCAGCAAAATCAACAATGGCTTCCATGGAGTGGCTGGGAAGCGAATCCCGGGACATCTGCGCCATCTCTGCCCCATCCTCCTCCTCCTCTTCTCATCCTTTCCCGGCTCCTCCGGCGCCGTGCTGAAAACGCCAACTATTCCATGAGTGGAAACTAGGGGGAAGAATTTCACCGGGATGCGAGCTGCCGGGAAAAGGCGGCGAGGGAGCTGCTTCCCCCCTTCTTCCCTCGTGCTTCTGCGAGTCACAACTTTGCCAGGCTGTGAATTCCCAAACCCCGCCGGCTCCCCCTCTTCCCCAGGCCGGAAAACGCCGGGAGGGGGGAATCGCGTCCTCGCTGCAGCCCGGGGAAACGGGATTCGCGTTGTCCCGGTAATTCCGGAGGGACGGGCGGTGACGGTGACCTTGGAGTGACTCCGGTGACACGGAAGGGAACCTGAGGCGGGACAGGAGGGACGGGCACTGCCCGTGACCTTGGAGTGACTCCGGTGACATGGAGTCCACGCATGGAAGTGAAATGCTCAGGAAAGGCTTCCTCCTCCTCCTCTGTGATGCAGGGTAGACGCTTCTCCTCCTCGTTCCAAGCAGAAGGCAGCCATGGTGACTTGGCAGGAGCTGGAGATCCGCCTTTGGAGCATGAATCAGCCCCGTCATTTGTGAGCACAGGAACATTTTGGGAGGATTTATGGCTGTTGCAGAGCCTGCTAAAGGCTTCTGATAAAAGGGTTGCAGTTTACAGGCCTGGAAAATTGGAATGAATTCCCTGCTGGGATGCTGCCTGTGGGCCGGGAGGGCTGGAAAAGCAGCTCCAAGGGATGGAGATGGGGCTGCCTGTGCTGAACCATCCGTGGCTGGCCTGACAGGAGCTCTTAACCCTGACCCAAGGCAGGGAGAAAATTTGGAATAGTTTTATGTGAGTTTTATTTCCATCCAGGATCTCTGACCCGTCAGGAAAATCCTTTCCCAGTTATTTATTTTTCCTTGTTGAAAGTTAATATTTCACAGAGTTCTGCTGTCCACAATTCCAGTATAAATCCAGCTCAGGCTGAATTTGGGGATATTCCCATCCAATGAACCTCCTGATCAAAGCCCAAGTGATGAAATCCCAAAATATTGTTCCCAAGCAACTTAAAATTCAAGAATTGCTCTTAAACCTGCCACGGAATCTGTCCCACACCTGGGAAAGGCTGCTGGGCTCCTGAGGATATCCCAGGAGGTTCAAGCTCAAAAAGCAAAGGAAAATTTCTCAAGTTTGAAATGAGGATCTTAATACACTGGACAAAAACCTAAGAAGTTTGGGAAAAAAAATAAGTAAGAAGCTTGAACAAAAAATAAGTTTGTAGAATGAAACTGAGGAAGTTCGCACCAAGAAATTAAGGAAGATTGGAAAACAAGAAGTTTGCTCAAAAAATTAAGAAGTTTGCTCAAAAAATTAAGAAGTTTGCTCAAAAAATTAAGAAGTTTGCTCAAAAAATTTAGAAGTTTGCTCAAAAAATTAAGAAGTTTGTCACAAAATTAAGAAGTTTGCTCAAAAAATTAAGGAGTTTGTCACAAAATTAAGAAGTTTGTCACAAAAAAATTAAGAAGTTTGCCACAAAATTAAGAAGTTTGCTGCAAAAGCCTCTCAAGCGAGAGCCCAGAATCTTGCGCAGGGAGGAGCTGCACAAAAGCAGCTCCCTGAACATGTTTTGCCCAAGAAATTAAGGAAGATTGGAAAACAAGAAGTTTGCCCAAAAAATTAAGAAGTTTGCTCAAAAAATTTAGAAGTTTGCTCAAAAAATTAAGAAGTTTGCTCAAAAAATTTAGAAGTTTGCTCAAAAAATTAAGAAGTTTGTCACAAAATTAAGAAGTTTGCTCAAAAAATTAAGAAGTTTGTCACAAAATTAAGAAGTTTGTCACAAAAAAATTAAGAAGTTTGCCACAAAATTATGAAGTTTGCTGCAAAAGCCTCTCAAGCGAGAGCCCAGAATCTTGCGCAGGGAGGAGCTGCACAAAAGCAGCTCCCTGAACATGTTTTGCCTTTCCCAAAGCTGTTCCCTAAATGTCACTTTTATCGCCTTCTCTCCCAGCCTTTATGACCATATGTGTTTTTATGATATTCACAACATGCTTGTGCCACACAAGATGCAAATGCAATTTCCTGCCGGAGCGGCTCAATATGCACGGCAACAGCTGAGGGACACAAAGGAAGGAGAGGGGCTGGGCTGGGGGGATTACCTCGTGCCCAGGTGTCCCCCAGCCTTCCTCAGGGGATCCTCCTCCTCCTCATGGTGGCATCAGCGAGCTTGGAGCCCAGCCTGTGCCCTCAGTGCATCTCCAGGCCCTCCTCGGACACCTCCAAGGAACCCAAATCTGCCTGTGTCCTGTCGGAATTTCACCTTTTTCCTTCCTTGGACACCTCCAAGGAATCCAAATTGTGTCCTGTCAGAATTTCACCTTTTTCCTTCCTCGGACACCTCCAAGGATCCAAATTCCTTCCCCTTTCCTCGTGTCCTGTCGGAATTTCACCTTTTTCCACGAGGAGGGTCTGGATTGTTCAGTGCTTCTCCTGTTACAGCTCCAGAGAGCTGAGGTGGTAAATTCCATCCTGGGATTGATAACAGGGGCTCAGGAAATCAAAAACATCAGAGAAGGAATCATGAAAACCAGAGCAGAGCATCCAAAAATAGGAAGAGCAAGGGAAATCCCATTTCCTGTGCAATTTGAAACACATTGGGGTTGGTTTTTCCAGCTGGGATCAAATGTGGCAGTGCCTCCCCGGCAGTTTGGGTTCATCGTGGCGGCAAAAACGGCAAAAAAGAAATCCTTGTCCTTAAAATATTCCTCCCTGGGCTCCCAGCCTGACACGTGTAGAGGCTGGGAGGGAAATTCCTCCGGGCTGCAGCCGCCTGCTCTTGGCCCGGCTTGGAATCGCTGACGGAATAATCCACAGCCGTTGATTATTTGGAATAATCAACGGCCATTAATTACTTGGAATAAACAACGGCCATGAATTATTTGGAATATTCAACGGCCGTGAATTATTTGGAATAATCCACGGCCATGAATTATCTGGAATAATCAATGGCCGTGAATTATTTGGAATAATCCACGGCCATGAATTATCTGCTGGGTTGAGTGGTCATGAATTACTTGGAATAAACAATGGCCATGAATTATTTGGAATATTCAACGGCCGTGAATTATTTGGAATAATCCACGGCCATGAATTATCTGGAATAATCAATGGCCGTGAATTATTTGGAATAATCAATGGCCATGAATTATTTGGAATAATCAACGGCCGTGAATTATTTGGAATAATCCACGGCCATGAATTATCGGGAATAATCAACGGCCATGAATTATTTGGAATATTCAACGGCCATGAACTATTTGGAATAATCAACGGCCGTGAATTATTTGGAATAATCAACGGCCATGAATTATTTGCAATATTCAACGGCCGTGAATTATTTGGAATAATCAACGGCCATGAATTATTTGGAATAATCAACGGTCATGAATTACTTGGAATAAACAACGGCCATGAATTATTTGGAATATTCAACGGCCGTGAATTATTTGGAATAATCCACGGCCATGAATTATCTGGAATAATCAATGGCCGTGAATTATTTGGAATAATCAATGGCCATGAATTATTTGGAATAATCAACGGCCGTGAATTATTTGGAATAATCCACGGCCATGAATTATCGGGAATAATCAACGGCCATGAATTATTTGGAATATTCAACGGCCATGAACTATTTGGAATAATCAACGGCCATGAATTATTTGGAATAATCAACGGCCGTGAACTATTTGGAATAATTAACAGCCACGAATTATTTGGAATAATCAACGGCCATGAATTATTTATGGCTTCCTCGTGTACAATTCCCACCTTGTGCTGCCTTTTTACCTCGCTCCTGTCCTGGGTTCCTGCTCCTTCTGGGGGTGTGCAGTGAATTTGTGAGGTTGGGATGAACATTCCTGCCCTGCCCTCTCCCGCCAAGGGAAGGACAGATGAATCCCGGCAGAAATTCATCCCCGAGAGGTGCTGATGGAGCTGCTGGTGGGGTTCAAAGTGATCCCCGTTTATAAAGCAGATTTGGAATCCCTGGGATGATCCCGGTGTAGATCCAGCTTGGTTATCAGTGGGATCCTGCACTCCAACCCCATTGCCCCACTGGGAAATGTTGTTGAGTTTATGGACTTCTACTCAGAAAAGGGAATTCATTTGAAAATGTAAAAAGTTCTGAGTCAAACACAGCAAATTAATTGAATTTGACTGAAATAATGGGGAATCCCAGAGGGATGAGGCCTGACAATTAACTGGGAGGGGAGGAGCTGTTCCAGTGGGGCTGTGAGGGAGGAATTTGGGCCGAGCTGGAGGAGAATCCCCCCCCGGATAATCCACAGCAGGATTTTCCCTTGTCCTCATTTAGGAGCTTTTGTGCCTCTTCCCAAGGAAGAGCAGAACAAGAGGATTAAGGGAAGAACTCCCAGAAAATCCCAGCGAACAATCCCGATCTAATTGATCACGGCATTAATTGCCCCTGATCTCTGGCAGCCTGCTGGGACATTCCTAATCAAATTCCAACTCATTCCCAGCGATCTGACACTGCCGAGGCTCTGCCTCTGCTTTAGGGAGTGGGGGGATATGGAAGGAGTGTGGAAAAGTCATGGCTGGGCTGGGCTGGGCTTGGCTGAGCTGGGCTGGGCTGGGCTTGGTTGAACTGGGCTGGGCTGAACTGGGCTGGACTGGGCTGGAAATGGGAACGAGAGTCACAGACCAAATCCTGCACTGGGCTGGGCTGGGCTGGGCTGGGTTGAGCTGGGCTGAACTGGGCTGGGCTGGCCTGGGCTGAACTGGGATGGAGATGGGAATGAGAGTCACAGATCAAATCCTGCACTGGGCCGGGCTGGGTTGGGCTGGGCTGGGCTGGAGATGGGAATGAGAGTCACATATAAAATCCTGCACTGGGCTGGGCTGGGCTGGGTTGAGCTGGGCTGGGCTGGGCTGGGCTGAGCTGGGCTGGACTGAGCTGAGAACTGGGCTGGGCTGAACTGGGCTAGGCTGGGCTGGAAATGGGAACGAGAGTCACAGATCAAATCCTGCACTGGGCTGGGCTGGGTTGAGCTGGGCTGAACTGGGCTGGGTTGAGCTGGGCTGGGTTGAGCTGGGCTGAACTGGGCTGGGCTGAACTGGGCTAGGCTGGGCTGGAAATGGGAATGAGAGTCACAGATCAAATCCTGCACTGGGCTGAACTGGGCTAGGCTGGATTTGCAGCCCTCGTCCAGCAGGCAGCAACATCCGCCCCAAGCTGCTCCGAGGCACTTGCAGCCCTGCTGGATTTGGGAATTTCGGGGCTGCTCATCCCTCGTGAGTGGAGTTCAAGGTGGAACTGGGAGTGTTTTTACCTCCCAGCTCGCGTGGAGCCCGTCCAACATCCCCGGTGAGAGCAGAGCAGGGGATGTGTCCTCATCTGGGCTGAATCAGGGCCTGATGGATTTCATCCCCCTCCTCAGCCAGGTGCTGCCCTTTGACCCCAGGCTGTGAAAAAGCTCCCAAGGTTTCAGGTTCTGTGTGTTTGGAGAACTCCAATAAAAGGTGCTTTATTGATTCTAATTAAATCTTTGGGTTTTTTTGTTTTTTGGGGGTTTTTTTTGTTTTTTTTTCTGAGGTGGAGCAGATCCCAGTTAACTTTAATTTAGGGCTGACATTTACCCGCTGCTGGAGGAGGGGGAATTCCAAGTGGACAATTCATTGCAATTTGAGGGAAAAAAAAATTCCCTGAAATGCCAGAAAAGTGCATATTTAACATTTGCAGTAATTAAGTGATTTTAATTTAATAATAAATCCCTCTTGTCTCTATTTCCCCTCATCCCTCACTCCTGGCCTGGCACGGGGACTGAACTGCACTAATTCCTCCTTTTTCCAGTGTAAATAAACTTTCATTCCTTTTTCCAACCCGGCAGCACCTTCAGAATTTCACTTTTTCCTCAAGAAATCCTTCATTTGGAGTTGGTTTTTTTTTTCTTTTTCCAGCAACAAGTTTTTTTCCCTCTATCCAGCAAAACAACTCCTGCACCTGGTCCGGGTGGGAATTCCATCTGGAATGGTTTTTATGGCAACACAAAGAAAATTCTGCCACAACCCCCCTGGCTGCCCTCAGACCTCCCTGGTCAGGTTTATCCTGGCAAAGCTCAGCCTTTCCCTGCTCAGCTTTGTCCTGCCAACATTCCCATCTTTCATTCTCCCAGGTTTGCCCAAATCCCTGCTGTGTGACAATATCCAGCAATTTAGGATTGTATTTTCCCCTCTGATATGAAATTCTGCCTTTTGTGCGAATAAAACTCTGTAAAAAATTGTATTATTCCTATTTTAAAGCATGTTTCCTTTCGGAAACCCGTGGGGTTTGTTCATCTACAGCCTCTGCATTTCCAGAAATGCACAAACACAAATATTTGTGTGACGCCATCTCGACTTTTGTTGACAGAACGAGGTGAAACCACCAAATATTCGGGATGAGACGTGCCTGCCTCCAAGTTCTTCAAGCTGCTTCTCATGTTCCCTGTTCTCCCTGATAAGTTTTGACAGCTCCAAGCCCAGTAAAGGATGAACTGGGGAATGTCCAACCCCCCCAGGGCTCTCCCCCCTTGTTGTGCCCTGGGAGATGTCCCAGGATCTTCCCCAGGTTTGATTTAGCTCTGCTGGACTAAGCACATCATTAATTAGCTTTTATTTACAGTTCCACGGCCCAGGCTATCTGCTAATTGAATTAGGGGATGCCAGTAATTAAAGAAGCCCGAGGAGCGACAAACGGGCGCGTTCCTAAATAACGGACCTGGAGAAGGGGCATCATCACCTACATGAAATGATTGCTGATCACCTTTGAGCTCCTTAACTCTTAATTAACGATGGATTTCCAGTGCTGCTGACTTGGTTTTGCTGCTCCTTCCTTGGAGGAGGAGCTTTCCAAGAAGCCTTGGCTCTTTTGGGTAGCAGTTTCGGCGGCCTGGGATATTTGGGGGAAGCTCCGGTGATTTCCAAACATTGGGAATGGGATTTTTTCAGGCTTTTTTCAGGCTTTTTCGGGATTTTTTCCCTCTAGGGAATTCTGGCAGCCTGGCCAAGGAGTTGGTGCCAGGGAATCTTATTTTTCCTTGGAGAAGCAGCTTTCCAAGAAGCCGTGGCTCTTTTGGGTGGCAGTTTCGGCATCCTGGGATATTTGGGGGGAAGCTCCAGTGATTTCCAAGCATTGGGAATGGGATTTTTCCAGGCTGTCACCCCCCTGAGGGAATTCTGGCAGCCTGGCCAAGGAGTGGGTGCCAGGGAATCTTATTTTTCCCGTGGGGAGCAGAAAAAGAATGAATTCCAGCAGGGAATCATGCTGAGAAAAATGGGAATTCTGCAGCGACATCCCCTGCAGCACCACGGAGTTTCTCAGCACTCATCCAACATTTTACACGGCATTTTCCATTTTAGCCCGCTCGTACAGCTTTTATTTGATTCAAAACTCCTCGCAGAAGGGAATTCCTGCGCTGCAGCAGCAGCTGCTTGAGGTTTATTTACCTGCTTTTCCCCCAGCCAGCCGAACTTCCTGCCCCGTCCTTTTCGGAGCGTGGATCTTTCTGGAACTTGCAGAGCAGAGATCACTTTGGGAGCTTTGCTCTCCCACAATTCCGCGCTTTGCTGGCACGGCATCAAAAGATGACAAACATCCTGCAAGAAGACAGAGGCTTCATTGTTGATGTTTGGAGGGGGGGGATGAGGCACGCTGGGATTTGGGAGAAGCCGTTCCAACCCTCATTGAATCCTGGATTGATTTTGGGAGCGTTTCTCTCTGAATTCCTGCGGAATTGGGCGCAGAACTGCCCATCCCCAGAGCGAGTTTCAATCCATTTTTATTTTTTTCCCCCAGGATTATCCCAAGGGCTCTGCTGCCCGTCCCTTCCTTCCATCCTCAGCATTCCCAGGAACTTCGCAGCCTCCTCATTACCAAAGGTTGTATTTAAGATTCCCGTGTCTCCGGCTTAATAACCCCCAAATGAGTCCCGCCGGAATTAGCCGTAATTAAGGACATTGTGAAATACGGCGGGGGCAAAGGGAATTACACCGTGTTACTTTATTAATAATATTCCTTAACGACACTGAAAATTGCTATTAGGCCTGAACATTCCTGCCTGGATATGGAAATAGTCTTTTGCTATGCTAATCTAGCACAATTTTCTTTTCAATGTAAACAAATTATGCTCTATTAATATGCTGTTCTCCTTGCATAGTTAATTATTGTAACAGTAAGGAATAAAATGCTCTGGCTTTCGCTGTTTCGGATGGGAAAAAAAGGGCTCCATAAATACTTTAATAGGGAGCTAATTATGCACAGAATTCCAATGTTGTAATTGCATTCAAATGCTCTTCTGTTCAAATATTGGGAAGCTGGCTAATTGGAGGGAAGCTGGAATTTCAATATTGTGAATCGATGATTTCCTGCTTGCTCCTGTCTCCCTCCACATTTGCCTTTGGGAACATTTTTTGGTGCTCACCACGAGTAGCTTGGGGTGGAAAAAAGAGATTTCAGAGCTTTGAGCTGTGGGGATTGATTTGGAAAGAGAACAGGAGGAAGGAGAGAACAGCTGGGGTCAACCTCGTGTCCCAAGGAACAGGAAGGGACAGAAAGGCCTCGAGCTGGGCCGACGGAATTTAGAAAAAAGGAATTTGAGGCTGGAATTTAGAAAAAAGGAATTTTAGGTTGGAATTTAGGGAAAAATCCACCATGAAAAGCCTTTCTGGTGGAGCTGCCATGCCTGGAAGCGTTCAGGAAACACACGGACGGAGAGGAGCGATGCTCTTCGAGCTCTTTTCCAACCTCAACAATTCCACGATGATTCCAGACTCTGGAGGAGATGCCACCCCGGAGCGGGAACAGGCAAACAGCTTGTGGCACAAAGCAAAGGAGAGAATTCCAAATGGCTAATCTCCAGCCACCCACACGAGTTTTGTCTCTCTTTAGCACCTTTCCCTGGTTGCTAAGTCTCGCATCCAAAAAACCCGCAGAGGAGACGCTCCAAATTATGCGGCAATGTTGTGTGGGGCGGCTGAAAACAGGCTGGGAGCTCGGAGCTCCTGCTTGTCTTTAGGAAATGTTGATTAGCATAAGGAAAATGTTGATTAACTTTAGGAAAATTAGGATTATCTTTAGGAAATGCTCATTGTCTTTAGGAAATGTTGATTGAGTTTAGGAAATGCCAATTGTCTTTAGGAAATGTTGATTATCTTTAGGAAAATTCTGATTATCATCTTTAGGAAAATCCTGATTAGGAAAATCCTGATTAATTTTAGGAAATGTTGATTGTCTTTAGGAAATGTTGATTGTCTTTAGGAAGTGTTGATTATCTTTAGGAAATATTGATTATCTTAAGGAAAATGTTAATTATCTTTAGGAAATATTGATTATCTTTAGGAAATCCTGATCATCTTTAGGAAAAATGTTGATTATCTTTAGGAAATGCTGATTATCTTTAGGAAATGCTGATTATCTTTAGGAAATTCCAATTATCTTTAGGAAATGTTGACCATCTTTAGGAAATGCCAATTGTCTTTAGGAAGTGTTGATTATCTTTAGGAAATGATGATTATCTTAAGGAAAATCCTGATTATCTTTAGGAAATGTTGATTATCTTTAGGAAATGTTGATTAGCTTAAGGAAATGCTGATTATCTTTAGGAAATGCCAATTGTCTTTAGGAAATGTTGACCATCTTTAGGAAATGCCAATTGTCTTTAGGAAGTGTTGATTATCTTTAGGAAATGATGATTATCTTAAGGAAAATTCTGATTATCTTCAGGAAATGTTGATTATCTTTAGGAAAATCCTGATTATCTTTAGGAAAATGTTGATTAGCTTTAGGAAAATGTTCATCATCTTTAGGAAAATTCTGATTATCTTTAGGAAATTCTGATTATCTTTAGGAAATACTTCAGCAAACCCGATTCCTTCAATCCCAAATTCCAGCCAAAGAAATCATCTGCTTCAGGGGGAAAAAAAAAAAGAACAAATGGGGAAAAAAATCCCCCCCCCCAAAAAAAAAAAGACATGTCAGATCCCAGCTCCCCTGCCAAAATCCCCAAACAGCTTCCTGGCTTTTTAAGGGAAGAGCATCTGAAATATCTTTGCCGAGTCGTGTCTGTTTGTCTGACAGATGTCTGCAATGTTCTGGGAGCTGGAGTCATGCTCCGAATGTAAATAAGATTACGGGCCTCGCAATGTTCCAGTTCCCTTGGATTTACCTCTGAGAAAAAAATGACTTTTTGTTGTTTTTTTATTTATTTATTTTTTATTTCCAGCAGGTTTTTTCTCTCCCCATGCAGGATTAACATTTTTTTTGCCTTGTCAGTTAAATATCCAGGTTTGTCCTTTAATCCCCGCTTGGAGGGATCCAGCTGTTGAGCCAAGAGGGCGATTTTGGGCTAAAAATAGAATTATTCACCGCGAAGCATCATCTCCTTTTCCCCCTGGAAAGAATCAAGTGGCATTAATGGAGTTTGCTGCAATCCTGGGGACGTGGCCCTGTGGTGGGAAGGGGCTCCTCTGGCAGGAGCCAAATCCCATTTTGGGGCCACCAAGGAAGAAATTCGTCATTTTGCCTTTTCCACCCGCTGCAAACCTTCATTCTGGAAATGAATTCACCCAAACTCTTGGAACAAAGCTTTTCTTCAGAGCTCCAACGGGCTCTTCCTGAGGGAACCCAAAATTTTCCTAAATGCTGTCCTCAAACGAGGCACCAAGATGTTGTGGCCGAGCAGGACATCCCTTCCAGCGGGGATGTGACAGAGCTGCAAAGTCACTCCACAGTCAACACCCTTCACCCCAAACCAACGAGCTCTAATTAGATTCATCAGCAAATCTTGCACGATTAACGATCCCCTCTCAGATCCCAACCGTGGATTCTTGGTGGGATTTTAGGGCGAGGAGCCGTGCGGCTTTTCCGCGGTGTCACACGGACACCCTCCAGCTGTTCACCAACCGTGTGTCACCGTTATTTACCGACTAACGTGACGATAATTGGGGAATAAAGTGTTGGAAGGAGCTGACGAGGCCGCGATGGAACGAGGGCGCTCTCCTGCCTTCGCTGGAGACGCGGGTGCGGGGATTGCTCGCTCCTTCCCACTCAAAAAAATTCATTTCCAAATGGGTTGCAGGGTTCCCAGCAGATGGGAGAGCGCGGAAGTCACGAGCGCTGCCGTTTAACCCTGGCGGTGCCGGCGCCGGGACGGCGAGGCCCAGGCGGGTTGGCTGTTTTGCAGAGGGCTCCTTTAAAGCCTGAACACCTGTACTTTTACTGCCGCGGCGTCGCAGATGTGTAACCCGAGCTGGAGCTGCTCGGAATTAGAAAAACATGCCTCGCAAAGGAAGGAGGCGTTTGGGAGCAAGGCTTTTATTCCACACATCAAACCTCGATCTTTAAAGAGTTTTCCTCGCGTCACCTTCGGCTCCCGCTGAGCGCTGCTCTCTCTTGGCAAAGCAGCCAATTAATTCCCCGTGGCCGCGTTTAGCTTGGATATGGGGAGGGATTTTTGGGTGAAAAAGCTGTCCCACCACGCCACAGTGGGGCCAGAATGCACAGCTTCCCAGGGAGGCTTTATCTCGTTCCGGATGGAAATTTTGGGGCACATCCGTGTCACATGTGCCTCGTGTGTGCCTCCAGAACCGCTGGGTGACACCAGAACTGGGAATTGTTATCAGGAAAAGGTGGAGAGATGAGCGGCCCTTGCTGTCCCATGTCCTACAAGCGCTCCCGGCAGGGCAGGGCCGAGGGTGGCACTGCTGGCATGGCATGGCATGGCACAGGTCACCTGTCCCACCCCACAGGACATGCTGGACACCATCCTGCTCCATGCGCCCTATGCGGTTTCCATCCACATTTTTCCTAAATTCTGCCCGGGATTTGTTCTTCCTCCAGCCCTCTTGGGGCAGGGCCGAGGGTGGCACCGCTGGCATGGCATGGCACAGGTGCCATCCAGGGCCACCTTCACCCTCGCCTGATCCCAGCAGGACCCCCGAGCCCCCAGCCCCACCCCACAGGGTCCCATTCTGGACACCATTCTCCATTGCCGTCCCTCCATGCGCCCTACGCGCTTTTCCCCCCCATTTTTCCTAAATTCTGCCCGGGATTTGTTCTTCCTCCAGCCCTCTTGGGGCAGGGCCGAGGGTGGCACCGCTGGCACGGCACGGCACAGGTCCCATCCAGGGCCACCTCACCCTGCCTGGCGTGGGACATCCCGAGGTTGATCCCAGCAGGACCCCCAAGCCCCCAGTCCCACCCCCCATGCTGGACACCATCCCGCTCCATGCGCCCTACGCGCTTTTCCCCCACATTTTTCCTAAATTCTGCCCAGGATTTGTTCTTCCTCCAGCCCTCTCGGGGCAGGGCCGAGGGTGGCACCGCTGGCATGGCATGGCATGGCACAGGTCACTTGTCCCACCCCACAGGGTCCCATGCTGGACACCATTCTCCATTGCCATCCCTCCATGTGCCCTACGCGCTTTTCCCCCCCATTTTTCCTAAATTCTGCCCAGGATTTGTTCTTCCTCCAGCCCTCCCGAGGTTCTGCAGAGCGACCTGACCTCAACACCCTTATTTTTAATTTTTCCCCCCTTTTTTTCCCCCTGAAGGCCAGCTCCTTTGAAAACCCCAATTCCTGCAATAATTCGCCGCAGCTGCCGCGACGTTGCCGTGCTTTTGATCACTGTTATTAATGACGTGCCGTAACATATGCGAGCCTTGCCATCCCAGCTCCTCTTTCTCACAAAGATCGGGCTGTTCTTCTCCCCTCCCCTCCCCTCCCCTCCCTTCCCCTCCCTCCCCGGCCTCTGATGGAGCTCATATGTTTTAGGAAGTTCATCTCCCAGCTCTTAGGAAATGTGTGGGCAGCTCCTCCGCGCTACAAAAGCCATCGGAGGAAGGAGCTGTTCCCTTTTATTCCCCACTGAAGGATTTTGGCTCGCTTTCAGCCTCTGACTTTGCCGTTAAAAATGTTGTGCCTCGTCCCCTGATGTTGTTTTCTCCACTTCCATGTTTACACAGAGGTTTCCAGCTTTGCGTTTTTTGCATTTCTCGACCACTCCCAGCCCTAACGATGCCGAAAACAAAAAATCCAGGTAATTCTGTGTATTTTTCCCATTTATAACGCCACCAACAAAGCTAGAACTCTCATTAATCTAAACCATTCAGCTGAAAACGGGACGATTTTAATTATTTTTCACGCACTGACGGGGAGCAGGAGCTGTCCCCCCAAAGTCGCCTGCACCTCCCTAAATTGGATTCCCTAAATTTCTCCGAACAACCGCGAAAAAAACCAACCCAAGCTGCGCTTTCCCCCCTTTTCCTCCTCCTCCTCCTCCTTTCTGGTGGTTTTTTTCCCAAACAGGTGCTGAAATGTGAAACCCCACTGAGGGATTTCCTCGGAGCTGGAGCGGGAGGTGCTCCCAGGGCTGCCGGAGCAGGGCTGGCAGCGCCGCGAGCGCCGCGCTGTCGCTTTAAGAAAAAATAAACTCGGCTCTGAACTACCCAAAACCCTGCCATTTCCAGCCTGGGCTTGATTAATGATTTTTCTATCTAATAAAAGGTTCACAAACCATCTGTTTTTCTCCCTAATGCCTTGCCCAAAGGTTTTTCGTTCCTATTTCAGGCTTGGGGCCAACTGACATTCCCCCTTTTTTTTTTTTCTTTTTTTTTTTTCCCAGCCTTGTAAACAAACCCTTCTCTCTTTTTAATCTTCCAGGGCTGTTTCCTACCCATCGTTATGCATATTCATTGCGAGTAAACATTTTTAGTGTCTCCACTTAATCTCTTCCACTGGCAATTACTGTTCGACGCTGTTTTGTAATGCAGAAGGGCCGACGCTTTCCCTTCTAATAACAGCTGGGTCGCAGATGGGGCCCGCAGTCATTGTAGAAAATAAAAATTTACAAGATGCCAGTGGAATTTATTTCGGTTTTATGGAGTCGCAGGAGG